ACTCTGAGCTTTGAGAGAGAATCGGTCAAGATGCTTGTGGATGTGAATGTGACTGTACATTGTGACTGTCAACAGAGGTGCATTTCGGAGATGCATGACTGATGCAAAACTTGTGTGCTCCATCAAGGACCTTAAAAACGAAATATTATGAGTCCATTACACTTACATACATATGCGTAGATATTAAACATATGAACCATCCTCCAAAAAACACACTAGAGCCAAACTCATCTCGGTCCCACTTTATGTTAAGTGGCCCTGATAGCTGTGTACTTACATAGTAACTAGATGTGTACACAGTATGTAACCACAGTGTAAGTACACATTGGTACATAGTATCTACAGCTGTAATGTTTGTGTAACTACACATATGTAACAACCCACTGAATGGTATGTGTACAAATATTATGAATATGAATGCTTAAACACACCAAAAAACAAAAGCACAAAACACACAAACACAGAAAAATATTTCACATTAAAATTATTATAGTACTGTTATAGTGTAGCTTAATGGCTGCAATGAATGAATGAATGAGTTGTGCATGACCTGCTGAAAAACAAAAAATGCTTAAAGCGACCTTAGATCATCCGGCATGGTCAGGTTGATTTGTTGGCTGGTTTTAAAGGGGTCATATGATGCGATTTCAATTTTTCCTTTCTCTTTGGAGTGTTACAAGCTCTTGGTGCATAAAGAAGATCTGTAAAGTTGCAAAGACTAAAGTCTCAAATCCAAAGAGATATTCTATATAAAAGTTCAGAGTCAGCCACACCTACCTAAAATGGCTCATTCTAACACGCCCCCACATATCTACCTCACTATGTGGGAAGATTTGCATAACGCCGCCCAAATGTTCACGCAAAGAAAGAAGGCGTAACTTTTATTCTCACTGTAGTATTGTTGCTGCAGCCGCCATGTTGTGGAGACGCTGTGTGCTTCATTGTGAAAGCGAAACTACTTTGTTTGGTCTTCCAAAAGAGGACGATATCCGCTTCGTCATGCCTAGAGCTGATCTGTGCTGGTCGCTGAGGGAATACATCAACTTTCACCATGGACAAAGCAGAGTCCAGCTCGGGGTCCATCACATGTGGTTGCCGCGCATTCGTCGCATCCGCCGGGCACGCCGTTCTCGACCCCGCCGCCTCAGCTCACTCTATCCCGGCCTCAGCACACGCTAGCCCAACCTCAGCTCACTCTATCCCAGCCTCAGCGCACGCTAAGCCGGGGCTTCCCCTCACGCTAGGCCGCTGTGTTTTTCGTTGTGAAAGCGAAACTACTTTGTTTGGTTTTCCAAAAGAGGACATGACTACAAAGCAGTGGTTAAGTTGTATTTACCACACTGTTCCAGAAAAATTTTAACCCAAATATCCAGATGTGTGCAGCACATTTTATGGAGGACTGTTTACTGATCCTGGGAGAGTAACGTTAGACTACAATGCCGGTAGTTCTGACTCACGTAAGTACGTTTTCATTTAAAGGATTTGCCACTGATGATTCAAACGCGAGTTTTGGGCAGTAGAGTAGCACTTGTTGTTTGTCATTTCTCTGATCACAAATGCAGACAGAGTTGTATGTTTACGCGGCGCGATGCAATGCAACGCAATGCGTAAAAAGACAGTATAAGTCATTATAATCAGTAATTATGTCCCCACTGGATGCAACAAATGCCTCGTTTGTAATGGGTTTTAATGTTGTCTCGTCGCTCCGGCCGGACACGGCATCAACAGTATGGTGAGGGGCGTAACATTTCCGTCACACGCTTGAGGAATTCGGCCAATCACAACGTACTGGATAGCTGGCCAATCACAGCACACCTCGCTTTTTCAGACCGATGAGCTTTGTAAAAATAGATTTTTTTCAAGGACAAAAATGTTTATACAAATTAAAAAGATTACTTATTACCATACCCTATAATCAACATATTTTCTTAAAATAAATAAATAAATAAATAAAAATAAATAAATACAATAAAAAAAAAAGTTTAAAAAAGGGCTTTTTACAACTGAATTCCACCATAAACAAAAAATTAATTTGGCATAACATGAAAGTAGACATTTTGTTAGTCAATGTTTATTTAGTTTGCTTACTATAAATAAAGACAACTTAAGTTTATTGTGATGTCTTAAAATATGCATGCACTAAAAAAAAATAAAAAATAAAGCTCCAAATAAATTAATAAAACCCACAATAATTTCTGCAGTAATAAGCTAGCCAGTATGTGTTCTGCACATAAACACACTGGTGTCAAGTGAAAACAAAATAGTTTCTTTTCATTTTTACTTTGGGGAGTGTTTTTTTTTTTTTTTTTGCTTTCATACAAATGCAACAAAAAAACAAAACAAAAAATTGGAAATCGTGATTTTCATCTCACTGTTATAAATACCAAAACTCACAAATATATACTTACAGAATTTTTTTCCACAAAAAAGACCATTGTTATACTGTTTGTTAATGGCTGCAATGAATTAATTAATTAATTAATTAATTACTGAGCTGTAAATGACAATGACCTGTTGTAGAAAAAGCTTAAAACAAACTATATAGATGGTCTTAACCCTCTAATCTGTTGGCTGGTTTTAGAGGGGTTTTAAGCAATTTTCAGCTGGAAAACCAGTCTAAACCTGTTAAGACCTTAGGCTGGTTTGTTTTGTTTTGTTTTGAACAATGCAATGTGCAAAACTGATGCAGACAGAGTTGCATCCTGTATTGCATTCACTGTTGTTACTGCATGGCCAAAACACACAAATACACACTTACAGAAAACTATTCCACAATAAAAATGACCATATACTATTGTAGTGTTTGTTAATGGCTGCAATGAATGAATGAATAAATGAGCAGATAAGCATGACCTGCTGACAAAAAGCAGCTTTAAATAATCTTAGATGGTCTTAAATGGTCTAGTATTGTCAGGCTGATCTTTTGGCTGATTTTAGGGGGTTTTAAGCACTTTTTGTTGTTTGACCAGCTTTTTTCAAAAACGAATCCATCTGTATTTCATTATTCTGTTATAATTGCATATAGCCAAACAGAGCCGGCCCGACCTAATAAGCGAAATAAGCGGTTGCATAGGGCCCCGTGGCCTCCAGGGGGCCCCATGTCAGCGTTCAGACTGTAATGCTTGATAATAATAACTTTTATAAAGTTTCAGTCGCGTGTGTTAATGTTTGAAAATTCACTATAAAACTGGTGCAGAGAAGTGCAGGGAAAAGAGAAAAGAATGTGAGCAAGATAAGGATACGTGATGGATTTTGAAAATATATTGTTGAAATTACTTTTGCTGCATCGTGCTGAGAGCGCTTTGAAGACACGCTGTGCCAGTGTAACAACAGTAATGAACATGAACGGTATTGTTGTCTTGGGCTCTTCAAAATACGCGAATAATTCTTATCAGAATTCTTATCAGAATGGTTTAGATTTTTAACCTGGGCTTCCATACCACCTCAGCAGTGCCACAAACTGATCACCTCCATGCCACGCAGAATTGAGGCAGTAATTAAAGCAAAAGGAGCCCCTACCAAGTATTGAGTACATGTACAGTAAATGAACATACTTTCCAGAAGGCCAACAATTCACTAAAAATGTTTTTTTTGATTGGTCTTATGAAGTATTCTAATTTGTTGAGATAGTGAATTGGTGGGTTTTTGTTAAATGTGAGCCAAAATCATCATAATTAAAAGAACCAAAGACTTAAACTACTTCAGTCTGTGTGCATTGAATTTATTTAATACACGAGTTTCATAATTTGAGTTGAATTACTGAAATAAATGAACTGTTCCACGGCATTCTAATTTATTGAGATGCACCTGTATTATCTTATTTTCCATTGACCAGTTAAGTTTTACAACACTGCGCTGCACTTTTGCTGTGTAAAAGTTTGGTCATATTTTCTCATTGATGTGAACAAAGCAGCAGTTGTGCTGAATAAAAATGCAAGTTCACTCTCTGACAGCAGGTGGCGCTTTAGGAACAGCAGAAATACACCGTTAGCATGGTTACCCCTCTACACAAAGCAGGGCGGCACAAGTGCAACTTCTGACACCTGCTTGTTTATTAACATGTTTTCAAACAGTCATTTGGATTTTTTAATCACTTTGGTGTTTATCAAATAACACAAATATTTAAATATACCATATCTTTATTCAAACATTTGCTTAGACTTTTTTTTTTTGCATTTTAATCAGGAATAAAACATGCCAGCCCAGATGCACAGATAATAATTATAATATATTACAGATAATAATAATAATAATAATAATAATAATAATAATAAATTATTCTCTTTAATTTTCATAATCCAGGTGTTCTTGCATTATTAAATCAATAATCTCACAAAATGTTCATACATTTATCTGAAAGCAATGGTTAAGCTTTTACATTTTTAAAAGTTTAAATAATTGTTAAAAGTGCTTAATAAGTAAATATATTTTCATATTTATGTATTAAAAGATCAACGCTGAGTAGATGATTAAGACAGTTTGGTCATTTAAAAAAAAAAAATTTTTATAAAAAAATTCTAACTGAAATAAAATACTTATAACCGTTTTATTTTAGCTAGTTGACAAGGCAACATTTCTCATTTTAATTTAGTTTATCTTAATGTTCTAAAATAACTAACACTAAAACTGAAATAAAATTTAATAACTATACAGAAAATCAACAAATCTAATAAAAACAAACAGTAAAATTACTAAAACTTTAAAATGAAAATGACAGCAGAAAATATAAAAATAATACAAAAATAATGCAATATATTAACAAAAACTATAATAGCACATGAATGATACTAAAATAGCATTGCTTTACAATAAAATGTCAGTGTAAGATGTATACCATGGGGGATGGGAATGGTTATGGGGGGCCCTTCTTTGAAAATCTGCTTAGGGCCCCCAAAATGCTAGGGCCGGCCCTGTAGCCAAAACACACAAATGCATTCACAGTGATTTGTCAGTGTTGTTTCATTGATCAAATGCACACTATATTTCCAAAATGCACTTACCCACAAACTCATGCACGAGATCCTTCACCAGGTGCCCCACGATCGCGTAAGCCACGGCCACCACCACCAGCGCGGCCATGACCAGGTACAGCACCGCCTTGGGCAGTGGTATCGAGTCCCTCGGCGGTGTCTTGTAGTCCGTGAACTGCAGGTCGCTCTCGGAGTACGAGTACTGAAAAACGTGCTCCAACCCGGACGTGTGATTGGAGTTGAGCGGCGGGTGACTGGCGCTCATGCCGCTCAGGTCGGGCTCCAGAGCCGTCACCATGGTGCTCGTCACCGCCTCCACCCGATCCATACTCTGATGAACAAATCCCGCTGATTTATTCACAAGAGGCATGATCTGAGAGAGAAAAAAGCTCCAGTCCTTGATGGCTGTGGTGTTGCATAAAAACATAATGCCTTTGGATGTTAGCCTATCACTTCTGGTGGAAGTGACCTCCGGCATCACCAGTGGATGTAGTTGCGCCAAACTCTTGCTGAAGTCTCGTTCAGTTTATCCAAATGCGGATATCAGTTTCCTCAGACATGAATTTCCTGGTTTAATAAGATGCAACTTGTAAATGTTAAAATGATTTGGAAATAAAGCTGCAGCTGTAGAATGATACATTTCAGAACATTATTCTCACATTTAGTATCACATAAACACGATATTATCTTGCTTAGTGAGATAAAACAGAACTAAATGTTCTGCAATACGAGCTTTGCGTATAAATAATAATTAGTGCGCCGTGTTCTATTGAAAACATCTTCAAATTCCACGTACGCGACGACCGTTCGCGTCCATAAAAAGTCGCAAAGAGCCAGGAATATTCTGTAACACGTGAAACACGTCGTTGAAATGAATACCTTTCATTCTATTCAAAACGTCTCCAAGAAAGCGTCAAATAAACTGGATGTTTGTGATAACCATGCGAGTTTGTTTGCTATAGAAGTCTTAGGCTATTTCGCTTAATGAGAAAATGCACACAAACGTTCTTTAAATGAAAGATGGTGCAGTGTGAGTTTTTAGTATAAGTAATAAAACATACCTGCGTTTAAATTAACAGCTATTCAAAACATTCCCAAATACAAGTATTTCCACATAAACTCGATATTTGCGATGATCGTTCGCCTCAATATAAAGTCGTTAAGAGTAATTTAAAAAATCCCTCAGCAGGATATACTGTCGTAAACTACACGTCGTTTAGATTAACGTCTCATAATATATAAAAATCCCACATTCATGTCGCTCTCCAAAAGCGTTTGCACAAGCAAGCCATTTGCGACGATCGTTCGAGTCCATAAAAAAGTCCTTAAGAGTATCAAATATCCCTCAGCGGTCTACACGTCAAACGCGCAGACGAACAGATCAAATGTAGCTTCAACGCGTCAGCATTTTCCTCACAAGCTCCAAACACGCGCGTCAATTTTGTATGCTGTGGGTGGAGGATTCAAAGCGAGCGCGTTCAAGAGGACGGTCGTCTCCAGCGAGTCTAAGCCCTTGTTGACCTGGAAACGGGTTTCGTAGGGTTTTCGCATCCTTTTCTCAAGGTAGTATAAGGACGCCGCGCCACTCGCTCGCGCTTCCCGCCTCTAGTGATGAGAGCGCGCGCAAACTATTGCTGAAGGGAGCGCGGTGAGGATGGAATCCTCATTGTAGGCTACTCGGAGGTATAACTTTCATAAAACACTTCAAACATTAGCTTTTAGGTGTCATGTATGAAATATTCAAGAGGAAAGGACAATTCCTTTGCAGACTAATAGATTGGAATCTTTTTAGCCATTAACCATTTATTCGTTGAAGGACAAGGTTGAAAGAGACTATGCAAAGTGAAAGGAATAATCACATTTAAACTATCGCCAGTACTAGCATGGTAATAATGGTGGTCCAGGACCTCAAACCCCCCAGGATAAACCACTGTGGTTATCTCATCCGCTACTAGCCGTGCGCGCCACAAAAGTCACGTGTTCCTTTTTCTGATCACGTCTGAGATATCCTCTGGCTTCTACTGATAAAAGATGAGGAGACAGAGCGAAAATAAAACATCCTTCGTGTGTTAACCCGTGCCTCAGGACTCCAAGAGCTGGAGAGACAGAGATAAATAGGCTATCCTTAATATTGTCTTAATGTGACCAACTTTCCTGACTATAGGCAACATAATACGTTTGAATGTATGTGAGCTATCTGAAATTATTCCCATTTATATATATATATATATATATATATATATATATATATATATATATATATATACACACACAGTCTCTCAACTGGAAGTTCAACATGGCACCTCATGGCAAAGAACTCTCTGAGGATCTGAAAAAAATAATTGTTGCTCTACATTAGGGTGACCGTATGTGCCATTTTCCCAAGACGCGTCCTGACCAAGATTTCTATATTGCCTAAAATATCTAGGTTTTGGCTTTGTTTGCGATGGATTGGCCAAGCATGGGCATCCTCAAACGGAAGGTGGAGGAGCGCAAGGTCTCTAACATCCACCAGCTCCGTGATGTCGTCATGGAGGAGTGGAAGAGGACTCCAGTGGCAACCTGTGAAGCTCTGGTGAACTCCATGCCCAAGAGGGTTAAGGCAGTGCTGGAAAATAATGGTGGGCACACAGAATATTGACACTTTGGGCCCAATTTGGACATTTTCACTTAGGGGTGTACTCACTTTTGTGGCCAGCGGTTTAGACATTAATGGCTGTGTGTTGAGTTATTTTGAGGGGACAGCAGATTTACAATCTTACAGATTTACGATTATACAAGCTGTACACTCACTACTTTACATTGTAGCAAAGTGTCATTTCGTCACATGAAAAGATATAATAAAATATTTACAAAAATGTGAGGGGTGTACTCACTTCTGTGAGATACTGTATATATACCAGGCATGTATAAATATATAAACAGCTTGATCAAGCCTATGGTTAGCTGGTCTTATAATTGGCCACCAATCTGGTCAGGCTGTTCTACATCAAAATATGGTATTCTTAAATGGTAACATCTAAATGCACTAGTTTTCAACTCAAAATATTATGTAATATTGTTGAATCAACCTAAGTACATTAAAGGGACAGTTCACCCAAAAATGAATATTGTCATAATTTACTCTCCATCAAGTTGTTCCAAACCTGTATAAATTTCTTTATTTGTTTTGTACACACACAAAGATATTTTGACGAATGTAGGTAACCAAAAAGTTGGGAGCCATTGACTGCATAATATTTTTTTTCCAGTGAATGGAAATCAGTGGCTACCGTCAACTGTTTGGCAACATTTGTCAAAATATCTTCTTTTGTGTTAAACAGCTAAAAGAAATACATACAGGCTTGGAACAACTAGTTTTTATGGGTTAAATCAGGTAGAAATGGCTCTTTAAGGTAACACTTGCAGGCCAACACAACTTACAGTGTAGTTTGATGGGTTTTAGAGAGGTTTTCAGAACAGTTGTTTAAGGTGGAATACTAGAGACTAACTTGACTAACTAACACTGGATTAGAAAGGTGGTGAGACCAGCTAAAACCAACTACAACAGAGATGCTGGTTTAAGATGTTTTGTTATCAAGATGATTTAATACAACTCAAAACTCCCCACATTAGTGATGTCACCTGAAATAACCAATGCTACATTATAAATTGGATTAGTTAGCCTTAATGGCCATTCGTACATTGATTTTCCCCCAAGACAAATAATACATCACTAAATGCTCACACCGTTTACTTCCCAAAATAAATTTGTCATGGATAGAGATTTATAGCACATTTTAGAAACAACCCAGTTCATGAAAGAGCATTATTTTTTTAAGAGTAATGCATGAATGGGGAGGTAGGGCTGTGCCCTTGTTGCATGATTTAGTTTGCATTGTTCTATTTTAGTATGAAATCCTGCAGCCATTTGGTCAAAAGTCAAAAGGCATATTTAATTGACCAAATCACCATTATGCATAGTAGTGGTTTTGTATTTAGGTCAAGACCTAGGTTTAAGGTTTAGGTTTATAAGTCATACATTCTCTCAGTATTTTTGTCTTCTTTTCCAGTACAAATATCTAAACATTCGTAAATCAAGACATGTTTACTTGACAAGCAAAATGTAATCAGATAACAAGTCTTCTACCAAAAAGAAGTGACTTTATGCTTAAAACAAGAAAAAATGTCTGCTAGTGGGGTAAGAAAAATAAACTTGTTTTCTCTTTGAATTAAATTAATTTTTTTACCCCACTGTCAGATATTTTTATTTGTTTTAAGTCACTTAATCGATACATTTTTCAGAAAAATAGACTTAATATCCTAAGTAATTTTGCCAGTCAAGTAAATATATCTTAATTTATGAATGCTTAGACATTCATACTGGAACACAACTTTACTTTAAAATGTTATAAAATCACATGTCTCTGACATCTAAACTAAGGTTGATAGTTTTTCTAACTATCATTTATTTTAGCGCAGCAGAAAATCTGTATTGACCAGTCACGAATGGAACCATCCCATTTTAAAACTTCAAAACTAGCTAAAGAGTTCACCGCCACTGACACCCACAAGTCCTTCTTCAAATACAGCTGTAACCCCTTTAATTTTTTCACCGCAGGAGGTCATCCCATCTGCGTTTGTCAATTACCTCCTGTGATATTTTGCACACCTTTGTGTCCGCTGGCCTTGCCGTACCCCCTCTCTATTGGACTGGAGTCAATTAAGAGCGAATCAGAGGTTTCAACTAGAAGAAGAAGAAGAGGACGAGACAGGAGTCAGTGACCTCACAGCAAAGGACAGAATCAGGTAGAGGGTTTTGACATGGTGGAGGGAGGCGTGTGCAACTGAAGTCTGAGCAAGACATGATGGATTTCCTGGTTGCGGGTTTGATGATAAATATCAAAAGACCATTTATTAAAGCTTGGCTGAATGCAGCAGTGCTCCATCAGAGATCGGTCTCCTTGTCTTCAGGTAAGATTAACATGCTACACTAAAGAAAAACATGTTTTATTAAATTTTTCTGCATATTTAGTTGGGGTTTTTTAACCACACCAATTGATTTTCTTATCATCATCAAGATATGTCTTAGAAATGAATTACTTTTATTATTACTTTCCATTATTTCACTATGTAAAGTTGATTGCATGCCACAACAAGTTTACAACAAACACTAGAGCTAACCAGTTATCACCTCAGAGAATATGGAGTTGAAAGGAGATGATTTTTCTCTTTGATTTCCTAAAATTAAAGCTAAAACCTAGTGAGATGTCTTGCTGTAAAGTATGATGCCTATACAGGAAGGCAGCATCCTAACAGAAAGAACCTCATTATTTGGAACACTACTGTACATATGCAGCACTTCCTTTAGTGTTCAGTTGAGCTTTATCATAACACAGCATTCCGATATGCATAAAGCTTTGTGTTCTGTGTTTAAACATAAAGTTGTACTGTTTTAATACAGTGGTCTGTAACACTGAAATCTGTGCAATGACACAATATCCTCACATTAATCTGTCAGATGGAAACCTCTCCATTGCGAGAATAAAACACTCTCTCTCTCTTGCCATCATGCAGTGAGGTACCTCAGGGTAGATTA